CAATTTATATGAACTACAAATTTTGGAATAGTTCTTAGAAACTGTTATTTATCAATCTTCCTCATATTGCTCATTGGCTTGAGCTTGCCCCTCTTATGTGCTTTTTATGAGTGCCAGTCTTGTAACCAGATTAAAACTGTTTTCTTTTTCTAGGTTAATTTCTGTCATCGGCCTAGTTTTCACCAGTCGTGATTGTGTTGCATTTCTTGCAGACACACATGTGGTTTGGTCTCATGCACTGTGTTACTAGCGGCCATCCTTTGTGATGGATTTAAGAGGTGATTGTCTACACAACCATCTGCTTCTTTTGTTCCTGATTGCTGTTTGTGAATGCCTTAGAAGACTAACTTTCAAGCCTAATGTATATTTCCACACCATCTTACCCCTAGAACAATTTACGTCACGTAGACTGTGGCGGAGCTCACCTTTTCCTCTTTAAGTTCCGAATCTAACCGTATGCAAGACCAGCACTGACATTTCTATTCTGCAGAAAAGCATGGTCAGGTGTAACCAGATTATGATTCAGAACATCACATGTAGGTTACCTGTTAGGCTGTGTTTGTCAAATTTTCTCTTTGGGTTTTTTGAATATTTTTATTTTTTATTTTTAACTTATCACCAGAGGAACTTTTATTATATATGGACTGGCTGTCCTGAAGTTTGATCTTAGTGTTGAGTAAACCATTGTGAGAAATGAACTAAACACACAAGCCATTTGTACTTCTTTCATTTTTGCAAATCAGTTTTCGCACATTATATATCTATTTAACTATACACACGTAACATGTAATTACAAATAACACTAAAGACAACACTAGGTAATTTATTTTTACTTCAGTAAAGGTTGCGACAATTTTATTCAATTGAATCAAATATAAGCATTTGAGGTGCTAAAGAATCACAAAGTTAGGAATGGAAATGTTAAAAGTATGTTCTTGAAGGCTGCAAACAGTAATGTCCACAAGCAAAACCCCACCAAAGAAAATAATTTACAAATAACAAAAAAGAAATTGAAAATGTGACTAACTTTGAACACTTTGACTTAATAATAAACAAGAACGGGGGTGGACGGTTTAGTAGAAGTCAGAATAGAACTGGCCATCAGTGAGTTGGCTAGTTTGAAAGCTGAGAACATTACACTAGCAAATAACTAAGGTAATAATTTTGAGAACATAGATCTTTCCAGTGACAAAGAAATTTAAAAAGACATTGCAAAACTAACTTTAGCATTGTTTTGCTGTTTGTGATTTCACTAGGCAATTTTACGTTCAGTAGTTTGCCATTGCTGACTGAACTATCGTATCTCAGTAACCAATGTGGAAACCACCGCAAGGCGGCATGCTGCCAATCGCCCACATTTGGAACCGACCCTGGAGTTACAAAGCGCGTTCTCAAATTTAAGCTACAGATACAGGTAGTAACTAGATCTAGGCTTGTAATGAACTATCGGGGCTTTTAGATGTGGGTTCAAGGGCCTATTGGAGGAGCAGGGGGGCAGGGGATGATGCCTATTGGATAAGGCGTCTGAATTCGGATCAGAAGATTGCGAATTCGTATCTCGCCGTGGTAGAATTTTTGACTTTCGGTCAAAATGGACGCTATTCTCAGCCACTGTTTTAAGCCGTGGCAACTATTTTGCTTCTGCCAGACGGTGGCCGTTGCATTTTTTGCTCCATTTGTAGACTGAAAGGATATAGTTTCGTCGCCTAGCTTCTGAGCTGAGTGCATGGCGTGACACTGTGAGCTGCGGATTTTATTTGGAATGTTTTTCGACTGTGACCAACGTGGTGGTGTGAAATGTAGATTCAGAAAATGGCGCGATTCCTATGGTTGCAATATTGGTGGTGCCAGTATGTGATGAAAATCAATCGCGTGTGCAACTGCTGATCTGTTGGTGACTTCTGCTACCATCCATGATGAACTCCATTTTTAATGTCAGACTGTTTGTGTTAGCACTTCTGATGGCTACCGTATGCTTTTAATGCGTGTGTATGCTAGTTATGCTAAAAAAAAAAAGCAGTCAGTCAATCTTTACACAAGGGGCTGTGATAAACATTCAATGTGTTTTTTGTTGGCACAGGAGCGGAGCAACTATGGGGTTAACCGTTTGCTATGAAGTTGAAACTGAGATTACCATCATCATCATGTAGCAGGTCCTTTGCAGAACGTCGCTCTCATCACAGTCTGCCTGAAAGGAACTTGGTCTCTCGCCAGCTCTCCCACCTCATGAACTTTCACACTCAAGAAGTCACTTATATCCTGTGCCCATCTTCGTGTTGGTCGGCCCCTGCCCCTCTTTCCCGGTAACATGCCTTCTGCTGTAATTTTTTCCAATCCGACGAGGCGCTTGATATGACCAAAATATTTCATTTTTCGAGAGAGGGTACTTTTTATTAGCCAATCTTCCTTGATGTTCAGATCTTTTAAGATGTCAATATTTCTCATCTTCTTTGTCCAAGATATTCTGAGAATCTTTCTATAGCATTTCAGCTCAAAAGCCCCTATTCTCTTTCTCAAGGACTGAGAGATAGCCCACGACTCACATCCGTATGAAGCCACAGGGAAGATGCATGCTCTCAAAATTCTAATTTTTATCTCCTTGCTAGTGCTTAACCACAGATTTTTAAGGCTGTTCAATCTTTGCATTGCTATGGCCATCTTCCTTTTAATTTCTGTCGAACAGTCTCCATTGTTGTTTATTATAGAGCCCAGATATTCAAAGTTTGTGACATTTTCAATTTCTTCATCATTTATTGTTATTTTTGGGTGACAGCCAGTTTTATATGTGGACATTATTTTCGTTTTCTTTAAATTCAAGAACAGTTTTGATCTTCACTGTGCTTTTGGACAGACAGTATTAATTTGTCTATTTCCTTTACGCTGTTCGAAAGGAGGACTGTGTCATATGCGTAGCGGAGTTCCGAAATAGGGTTGCCACAAATTTTGAGCGGATCATAACTATCACAAGTCTGGTCATTTTTCACATTTCTCATTATATTTTCTGCGTATATATTAAATAGGTATGGTGAGAGAATGCACCTCTGTCCCACCCTCTTTTGCACCTCGAATCAATCAGATGTATCACCAGCTGTTCCGATGGCTGCTTGTTGTTCATGATAAAGATTTTCAATTACATGCACTAAATGCGCTGGAAACAACATATTTTTCATAACAGTCCACAGTTTTTCGTTAAGATTACCAGATTACCAGCTCCTAACAATCACCCTGCAAACAGCGACTAATTACGAGTTTGCTGAATTAGGCTTGGCCAGATACAATCTCATACACTATGACTACTTCAAGTCACAAACCAAGAAACTCTAGGCAGACAGTATGATAACCAAGAGAAGATGGAAATGGCTTGGCCAGTTATGAGAATGAATCCTGACATACCTGCGAAAACAAAATTCACATGGATACTAGAGGAAAAGAAAAAAAAAGGGGGGGGGAAGGGGCGCCGAAAAACAATATGGAAGCGAACGATGGAAAGTGACCTGAGTGCGGCATCTTTGACATGGAAAACTGCCCTGAAGATTGCACAGGACAGGAAAGCATGGAATGTCCTCTCTGAAGCCTCATGTGCCACTAGGCATAACAAGCACTGATAATGATGATAAATTAGGTTAATTTTGACGGACATACACCTTTATTACCGACGTGATTTAAGCTGCAGCAAAATATGCCAATTGTCCTTGCAACGGTTCACGTAGAAAGAGAAGGAACTTGGATGTTAACCAATAATTGTTCTAATACCACAGAGAAAACGGGTAAATAGTGACAATTTATAAGATCTGACCATGGAAGTGAACTGGCTCATAACAGCATCACGTCTTGAAAACGAAACACTTCGACATTATTAGTGGGCTAGAAAGAACAGTAACTGATTGCTTGTTTCCTGTGAGAGGAGGCAGCGTCAACTAGCACGACGGTAGGCACTTGATGATGTTACACACTGTATGACAGAAAGTAAAGTAAACGACCCTTTTCTACGCCTTGAGGCGTATTAGGTATGTAGGGCTAGACCTATATTTTATAGACCGAAAGAAACTTAGTGGATCACGTGGTCAGTATCACACCGGCCGCCTTTACTTTCCAAGATTGTACCTGGTACCCACTCAAAGCTTGGTCGATCTGAGGGCCAGGGTCATTTCTGAAAAAAAAAATCAGGACCCAAACCCATGACCTTTCGATCCGCAGGCGAGCGTCTAGCCGCTAGACCACGGCGGCTTTCCTGTATGACAGTACATAGATAAATGTCTGTACTGCCTGCATTTATCTGGATAAGGATTGAACATCACAGCATTAATGGCAAACCCATTTTAGCCCCATTTTCCTCCTCAACAGCCAGCGAAGAGTACTGATGATAGTATCCGTTGTAAACTGGTTAGCTACTCGTCTTGCCTTTCCCCTAAGTCTCCGGTGGCGCCCAGAGCCCTCAGACAGTTCTTGCTTCATGATCCTCTCCAGATTTGAGTTTTCGATACCGTCCATGTTACTTCGTCCTACATGCGAGAGATCACATCTGTCTTATGTAGTGCAGAACATCCTCTAAATGTGGCCAGTCCAGCCACCCTATCTTTCTGACCATTCTCAAACACGCCTGCGTGGGCCGGACAATACCACCTCTCACCAACTGCGACCTATGGATTGATGCGATCCACTTGATACGATGATTTTGTATTAACCACTTGTAAGGCAGGGAACCGCCGTGGTGTAGTGGGTAGATACTGGCCACGTCACCCTCCAAGTGCCGATTGGTCTATACAATTTAGGTCTTGGCCTACATGCGCAATACACATAAAAGTGTAGAAAAGGATGGGTAGACACCATCATTATCTCTAGGTCAATCTCAGCGCTTAATGTTGCGCGTTCTGTAAAACAAACTGCTTGATTCATTTGCTTGCCCTCCGCTACCACTAATCACTACCAGCTAATAATCAATTTACACCAAAAAAAAAAAAAACCCCCTAACGAAGTCAGGTCTCAAGATAGGCCCTTGATCACTTTTTATCATGTGGATCTTTCACAGCAGTCAGACTGATCTGGGAACTGCATCTGATGAGGTCAGTTTCAGATGTAGCTTGAGAAGCATCCAGCCCGCCTTTGTTGACAACGCTGATGCTTGGCTTGATAGTTGTCTCTAGCGTTGAACATTGCGATCTTCTAGAACTGTTCTTTCGGCCTCTGAATCTATGGACAACATTTGGAAGAGATTGTGTGAGGCAATTCATCAATGCTATTATACAAACATTTATTTGTAAATAAAATATTTGATTAGATTGTGTCAGATATGTCAGCTCTGTTGCTAAGTCGATGCGAACGCTTTGCTTCGTAATGCCGGGATGCCAGGCTCGATCCCAGCTGCGGGCAATGCGCCTTGAGTTGGTTTCGACAGTGGTATCAAGAAAGCCGACCTTCCAGGAAGCAATGGCAAACTACTGGATGTAAAATGCCTAGAAAAACCACACAACAGCCAGGGGCTGTTAGGGTTGGTTCTGCCACGTCCTGTAAAGGATACGCAACTAACTTTTTTGTGTCAGATATTCATATTTGTGGAAAAGTAATGAAGAAGATTATGGCAGACAATCATTCATTATATCGACATAGAGTTCAGGACTGACATACTGTTAGATAATTTGCAACGTGAAACTATATTCTGTCATATTCTCATCATCATGTAGCAGGTCCTTTGCAGAACGTCGCTCTCATCACAGTCTGCCTGAAAGAAACTCGGTCTCTCGCCAGTTCTTCCGCCTCATCAACTTTCATACTTAAGGAGTCACTTATATCCTGTGCCCATCTTCGTGTCGGTCGGCCCCTGCTCCTCCTTCCTGGTACCATGCCTTCTGCTATAATTTTTTCCAATCGGTTGTGGCGCTTGATATGACCAAAATATTTCAGCTTCCGAGAAACGATGCTGTTTATTAGCCAATATTCTTTGATGTTCAGATCTTTTGAGACGTCAGTATTTCTCCTCTTCTTTGACCAAGATATTATGAGAATCTTTCTATAGCATTTCCGCTCAAAAGCCCCTATTCTCTTTCTTAAGGATCGAGAGAGAGAGAGTCCATGACTCACACCCGTATGTAGCCACAGGGAAGATGCATGCTCTCAAAATTCGAATTTTTATCTCCTTGCTGGTGCTTAAGCATAGACTTTTAAGTCTGTTCAATCTGTGTATTAGTATGGCTATCCCCCTTTTAATTTCTGTTGAACAGTCTCCATTGCTGTTTATTATAGAGCCCAGATATTCAAAGTTTGTGACATTTTCAATTTCTTTATTATTTATTGTTATTTTTGGGTGACAGCCAGTTTTATCTGTGGACATTATTTTCGTTTTTGTCACATACTAGAGACATATTTACGTAATTTTTTTTTAAATTTGTTCAAGCCCGTAACTGTATCGGGCAAGATTTCACAATATCCATGGATGTAGACACTGAATGTGATAGTTGAGTAACATCAAGATTTCATGCCCACCTGGACCGCAGTGACCCCCTGGTTGAGTAACATCAAGATTTCATGCCCACCTGGACCGCAGTGACCCCCTGGTTGAGTAACATCAAGATTTCATGCCCACCTGGACCGCAGTGACCCCCTAGCTGAGTAACATCAATATTTCATGCCCACATGGACCGCAGTGACCCCCTAGCTGAGTAACATCAATATTTCATGCCCACCTGGACCGCAGTGACCCCCTAGTTGAGTAACATCAAGATTTCATGCCCACCTGGACCGCAGTGACCCCCTAGTCCAGGTCTAGAAGTGGTGATAAGCAGCAGCTAAGCAAATTTGGCTCCAAGAGCAATATTGTAGGGCAACTACGGTAGACTCGGAACACGCAATACATGCCATATATCAGAGATTTATACTGACTGACACACAGGTTGATGAAAAAATAAAAGATTATTAAGTGGTAGAAGACACAGAGGAAGATCCAATACCCCGAATGTGACTTGTTGCATCACACGTACCGTAGTCGTATCTGGCATGATCAGCTGTTAAATTGTGTCGTCTAGCATAGAAATTCTAGCACTCGGATATTGCCAAGGCTCTGTGTATTCCTAATTAAACGTCGCATATTGTCGACACTTATGGTTCTAGTAGTCAAGTGGTTAACAATTTGTCGACCGCATCCTCGTCACAATCTTACCTACTAACACAGTCACTGATTTGAGTGTCACACTGTATCATGTTTTGATTGCCTAACTTGAGTGTTCCCGCTACAGGTCAGCTATCGGACCCTTCCTTTAATGCGTTGAAAGTAGAGCATCCTCCACTCACGTGGGTGTGATGACTAAACGTGAGACCTTCTTTCCAGAAGCATTCACAAAAAACCTTCATGAGCATTGACCCAAGAAGAAAATAATTTGACTACAGTTTGAACTGTGACTCCGAAAATATCTCAGAGACACCGTGACAGTGCCCATTCTAATTCTCATGCACTTGAACTCACGACCTTTGGATTCGCAGGCCTGCGTCTAGCCGCTGCACCATGGATGTTTCCTTGTTGATGTTTACAGTAACATAATCTTCCCCAGCGCTGCCCACATGCATGTTCGCAAACGGCAAAAGTTAGATGCATTGAAAAGAAGGGTTGTATGGCAACTTCCACACCCTTACCCTCGAAACCTTTTCTACGAAGACAAAATAAACACTGATGGGCCCGACTGCTATGACATCATGGTCACACATACTGGGATTCGAAACTGCTGCCTCCAAAGGGTGACAGCGCCTCGCTTCACGATCAAGTGACACGCACGGTCAAACTAGACACGTTGACTCTAGTTAATCAATCAGTCGATTTATTGAATAACCAATCCATCATTAATCATAACAAACAGCTCTAACTTGATCTAGCACTGCCACCACCAGCCCCCTACCACTGCTGTCTTGGAATAAACATGACAAAACGGTAGACTGCTGCTGGCAGTTCTTACATTCATTGGATGCATTTGGCATTTAGTGTGCAAACAATGACAAGTTGTTTAACCGATCTCAGATTGACTGGTCAAAGGTTAGTGTTATTTGAGTTCACTGCAGCATGGGGCCACGGTCACATCCGGAACATTTATCGCCCTGTTTACTACAGCAAATGCCATGACATTTCAAAGTTATCTGGAATCGGATGGCTTTGATCTTGAACAGGCAAAAATACTGTGTTTTTGTTTGATCTTGTCGTAGGTTCTGCTACGTTACCTCCGTTCTTATGAATGTTTCCTTTAATGAGGCATGCTACCTGGCTGACGCTTTGAACTTAATGAACTTAAGCTGTTGCTGAGACTCTCCCGAGACAGTTATTCTAAAGTGCGAAAATTCCGAAACCAGTAAACGCGTAAAAACAATCATAACAACTACACGCATGCCGTTCATATTACATTCTTTTATCATTTTGCATTACCTCTAAATCTGCATTGTTTTCAGTCTTATCAGTGTAAATCAATGCCAGCAAAAAAAGTGCGTTACAAACCGGTGATATGTATTCAGGAAGTTTAGCCAGCATGAACAGTTTTACAATTAAGTAATCAGGCTGATCTTATTATGGCTAAAACAAAAGTGCCATCTATGAAGCAAAGCATGCAATTCAAAGAGGATCCCTTCATCTATAAACAGACAACAAACAAGCAGCCATTTTGTTGACCTAGTCAGAGGTGCATTGTTACGTAATTAGCATTTAGCTAAAAGATCATATTAAATTTTGTTTGAAACTCAGAAAAAGCGCCATTGCGACAACTTTGTGGAGATAATTATTTATCTCGTGCACAAATTTTCAGATGATTCAAAAGTAGCGTGGAAATGATTACTAATGCAACTAACTCTGAAAGCCCAATTTCTGTTCGTAATGAGGAACTGGTTTCAAAAGTCAGAGAATGGACATAAGAAGATCGTTTCTTGACCTGTGAGGATAAATGGCAGTGGTGTTAATAGAGAGATAGCAGATGAATTTGGTGTTAATAAAGAGACCATTCGTTAAAAAAAATTAAGTGGCGGATTCGGCAAGAAAAAAAGTGTCATAGGGCTAGTGTTATGGTAATAGTCTGGGCGAGTGTCATAGTGAGAGTCTAGGCGAGTGTCAGCTGAGAGTCTGGGCGAGTGTCATGGTTAGAGTTTAGGCTATGTGTTATGGTTAGAGTGTGTTGCGAGTGACATTCCAAGAATCTGGGCAAGTCTCACTGTAAGAGTTTGGGCGAGTACCATGTTGATAGTCTGGGCGAGTATCATGGTAGGAGTTTGGGAGAGTGTCATGGTGAGAGTTTAGGCAAGTGTCATGATGAGAGAGAGTCTGGGTGAGTGTCATCGTGAGAGTCTGGGTGGGTGTCATTGTGAGAGTTTAAACGAGAATCACGGCGAAAGTTTGGGTGTGTCATGGTAAGAGTCTGGGCGAGTGTCAGAGTGAAAGTCTGGGTGGGTGTCATTGTGAGAATTTAGGCAAGTGCCAATGTGAGAAACAGAAATTGGGCGTCCAGGTCTAGTGGCATTAGTAATAATTTCCAAACCACTTTTGAAAAGTGAATACCAGCTGAAAATCTGTGCACGAGATAAACAATTATCCCCGTAAACTTGTCACATCAATTTAACTCTCGCAATGGCGCTTTTTATGAGTTTTAAACATAATTCAATGTTAGCTTTTTGTGTGTGTGGTCCATGCTGATTACGTAAAAATGCACCTCTGACTAGGTTGTTGTCTGCTTATAGGGCGGCGATGAAAGGTTGCTAGATCGTAGACGAAGGTTGCCCCTTTGGATTCCATGCTTTGGTTCATAGATGGCATTTTTGTCTTGGCCATAATAAAATCAGCCTGATTACTAAATTGTTGGACCGTGTAGGAGACTGATAACCAATGAGACCTGACCTGTATGTCCGATGCATTGGCATTGGGATCGCGTAGACCCAGAGAAATGCTCACATATATCGGTCAGGTTAGTACAGAGACACATGTACCATATCAATTGGAAGTTCGCTTTATCCTCTCAAAACTAAGAACAACCCAGAGTAGTGAGCCTGATTAGTACTTCACATCTTTAAGGTAAATTAGAAAGCTACTGGCACCATTAGTATCGGAACTCTTCGCTGGCTGCGGAAGATGGGGACGGAGCGCTTATGGGAATTCCCGGAGTGCTGTTAAGTCGGTTCTTGAATTAAATCAAATCAAATTAGGGTAAATTAGGATGTGATCTGGTCATAACCCATCAGAGAACATAGGAGTTTCATGAAGTTGAGCTCAATTTAGCAACTGTTGATCTACTTGTTTGAGGCATGTCGTTGTCAACAGACTCCAACTCAGTACCCAGAGAGAATTCACAATGATGACAGAATTTGTTGTAGAGCTATGTCTCATCGTTGCAAGTTGTTTTTCTTCTGGTCTAAGACAGTGTACATCATGGCTTTTCAACTGTTGGCCCGCGGATCAAATCCTTCAAACTGTGCAGGCCAGGATATTTTTTTCAAGGATGCATTAATTTATACACATCTGGGTCTAGTGTCATATTCTGGATGTGTCAATGGTGTAAAGAGGATCATTTGCCTACAACCACACACACACACCCTTAACTGTATATATAACATCGTCAGTTGATATATGTGACATCAACAAATAGCATCACTAACACCCTCAACTCAACAATATGAACTAGCAAACATGGATTGTCTAATATTTAGACAGGGAATAATGAGTTAGTTGACTCACCTGGCCACAAGATGAACAAAACCATTACGGAAGGTTTGGTTCATGGCGCCATAGACCATCGGGTTGATGGCGCTGTGCGAGTACATCAGGCTGATGGCCGAGAAGTACACATCCTCGTACCAGGCCGGCGGCTGAGGACAGAGGTCATCGTTTCATGTACATGTGCATTCTCATCTAGCTAGGTTTCTACATTATCTGTCTGACCTGTCTGCCTACATGCATGCAAACACATAGATTATATACATCTATACATAAATACATACATACAAACATCCATCCATCCATCCATCCATCCATCCATCCATCCATCCATCCATCCATCCATCCATCCATCCATCCATCCATCCATCCATCCATCCATCCATCCATCCATCCATCCATCCATCCATCCATCCATCCATCCATCCATCCATCCATCCATCCATCCATCCATCCATCCATCCATCCATTCATCTATCTATCCATCCATCCATACATACATCCATACATACATACATACATACATACATACATACATACATACATACATACATACATACATACATACATACATACATACATACATACATACATACATACATACATACATACATACATACATAGATACATACATTCATACATACATTCATCCATCCATCCATCCATCCATCCATCCATCCATCCATCCATCCATCCATCCATCCATCCATCCATCCATCCATCCATCCATCCATCCATCCATCCATCCATCCATCCATCCATCCATCCATCCATCCATCCATACATACATACATACATACATACATACATACATACATACATACATACATACATACATACATACATACATACATACATACATACATACATACATACATACATACAAACATATATACATACATACATACATACATACTACATACATACAAACATATATACATATAAACATACATGTTAACTGGCATTGTTGTTTAAATACGATCTTTCTGTTGCTATCATTTTTGTTAAAATAGGATTTCTCTGTTGTTTGGCATTTTTGTTGAAATATGGTAAAATATAATCTCTCTGTTGTCTTGAAATGCAGTGTCAACGGCCTCAGTGAAAGCCTCTTGTTTATGATATCTGTCCACTGATTTGATGTCAGTTCAGTTTGTTCAAAATACATAAACTGCTTGGCATTTTTGTACAAATATCATCTCTCTGGTGCTTGTTTGTGTATGTGTGTGTGTGCACGCGCGAGCGCTCGTGCGCGGCTTTTCTGGTTAAAATATGACTTCACTTGTGTGTGGCATTTTTGTTAAAATGTAATCTTTATGTTGCTGGCATTTATGTTAAAATATGATCTCTCTTTTGCTTGACATTTATGTTAACATATGATCTCTCTGTTGCTGGCATTAATGTTAAAATATGATGTCTCTGTTGGTTGACATTTATGTTAAAATGTGATCTCTCTGTTGCTTGGCTTTTTTGTTAAAATATGATCTGTTTGATGCTTGGCGTCTTTTTGTTTGTGTTAAAATATGATCTCTCTGTCTCATGTTCCGTCTTCTATCAGTGCTTCTCTGACCGTCCCGTGTTCCTGCTTGACCCTACTTACCATGGCACGGGTGTCCTTGTAGGCTTGGTAAATCGTGCTCACTTGGAACGGTATGGTGCAGACCATGAACGTGACCAGGAGAACAAACATCATGATCACAACCTGCAGTCACAAAAAAACCACATAACTTTAAAAATGACAACCTGACGCTACCGAATCAAAAAATCGCATCCGTTAACATCGGGATGACAGCCTGGCGATACCATATAAGATCATGACATCGGGATGACAGCCTGGCGTTACCATATAAGGTCATAACATCGGAATGATAGCTTGGCGATACCATATAAGGTCATGACATCGGGATGACAGCCTGGCGATACCATATAAGGTCATGACATCGGGATGACAGCCTGGCGTTACCATAAAAAGACATGCCATGTACATAAAAAATTGGCGTCAAGAAGAAGCGACATGACATCATTCAATTCAATTTAACCTATTTCATATGTATACAGGTATTCAACTTCTTTTTTCGCGTTCACTGGCTATAAATTCCGGTGTAACTTTCTAATTGTTCGCCTACTTCTGGACTTCACTCTTGTCCCAAATCTTATTTGTATGGCACTCCACGCTTCTCGGCATCATGTTAGTAGGCACTCCACGCTTCTCAGCATCATGTTAGTAGGCACTCCACGCTTCTCAGCATCATGTTAGTAGGCACTCCACGCTCCCAGCATCATGTTAGTAGGCACTCCACGCTTCTCAGCATCATGTTAGTAGGCACTCCACTCTTCTCAGCATCATGTTAGTAGGCACTCCACGCTTTTCAGCATTATGTTAGTAGGCACTCCACGCTTCTCAGCATTATGTTAGTAGGCACTCCACGCTTCTCAGCATTATGTTAGTAGGCACTTTACGCTTCTCAGCACCATGTTAGTAGGCACTCCACGCTTCTCAGCATGATGTTAGTAGGCACTCCACGCTTCTCAGCATCATATTAGTAGGCACTCCACGCTTCTCAGCATTATGTTATTAGGCACTCCACGCTTCTCAGCATCATGTTAGTAGGCACTCCACGCCTCTCAGCAAGGTAAAGAAAGGTTTACTTTTCACTCATTTAATCTAATCGCTTTTATATTTATGTATTTTAGTATTGGACAGAGTTGACAATATTTTTAACAACCTTATCAATGTATAATTTGCCTTTTGCCCCCTTGGGAATGTTTTAATGTCTCCATTTATTTTTTATAAGCAAATTCTTTTCTTTTTTTTTTTTTAAAGTATCCAGAAACCATGAGTTGTTAAGCCTGTGGCTCGGTACTCTGGATATCGCAACCCTTCGGCCTTGATTTCAAGAAAGATACCGTAAATCTGCGAGAAATGTGGCTTTTCTGCCTACCCCCGGGCATGAACCTGGACCACAAGGAGTTCGTCACCGGATCACCGCGCAGATTTAGCAAACTGTGCAAGCGGATCCGGGCAGAGTATATACATCCAGGAAACTGGAATGGATTAAGAAAGTATATCTCAGTACGCCTGTATTCGCTTCCAAAAATAGTTTCGATATGTGTGTCCCTTTCGCTTGTAAATTCCGAGCTTGTCACCAGCCATTTTACTTGATCTGGTATTGCTATAGAGCCTTGGATTGTTCCGTAAACACATGTAATGAAACATTTGTGAAATAGACACCGACTGTTTATACGCAAGTTAAGGAGCATTCAAGCTTTCGTAACCCAAACCTCACTTGCATCCTTACATTTCTCTCGACTCCCCATTCCCCTCCCCTTTTTTCATTCTTTTGATAAAAAATATGGGTTATTTATGTTGTCGTCCTATTGTGGCTTATTCTACTACAAGCCTCCTAAACATTTTTGATCCTAGAGCGTGTCTCAGTGAATATCTGACTGCACAGTTGTGAGTCTGTATGAATGCCTGACTACACAGTTTTGAGTTTACATGAATGCCTGCCTGCACAGCTTTGTAAAAGTAAAAAGTAAAGATCCCTCATCACGCCTTAAGGCGCATCGGGTATATGGGAAGAGCGCCCATATTTTTCAGACCAATATGCACAAGGAGTGTAATGTGGTCAGCATTACGCCGGCAGTCTTTACTTACCCAGGACAGCCATCATGGTAACTATTTTAGGCTGGGTCTGTCTGAATGTCTGACTGCACAGTTTTGAGTCAATATAAATGTCTGACTTCACAGTTTTGAGCCTGTATGAATGTCTAACTTCACAGTGTTTAGTCGATATGAATGTCTGACTCCACAGTTTTGAGCCGATATGAATGTCTGACTTTACAGTTTTTAGTCTAAATAAATGCCTTACTTCACAGTTTTGAGTCTGTATGAATGTCTGACTGTACAGTTTTAAGTCGATATAATGCCTGACTGCACAGTTTTGAGTCTGTATGAATGTCTGACTGTACAGTTTTAAGCGATATGAGTGTCTGACTGCACAACTTTGAGTCTATATGAATGTCTGACTGCACAGTTTTGAGTCTGTTTGATTATCTGACTGCACAGTTTTGAGTCTTAATGAATATCTGACTGTACAGTTTTTAGTCTGTATCAATGTCTGTCTGCACAGTTTTGAGTCTATATAAATATCTGACTGCACAGTTTTGAGCACAGGGCTGCGCCCTAATGAGTGTGAGGAATTTGACTGCTACGAAAAGGAAGACTCACCCTCTTGGTGGAACGCTGTTGCACTGCAGACATGCTGAGGCTTCCGTTGTGTGAGAGGCGGCCAAACTGTAGTCGCTGGATGATCACCGAGTACATGATGGTCATTAGGAGCATGGGCAGCCAGTTGAGGGCCACAAGCACTGGAGTCCAGTAGTATTGTTCAGCGGTCTTTCCCCCGTCACATTTTCCGTCAGGTTTCACCCTCATCTGTCACAAAGACAGGGCACAATTAGTTGTCACAGTTAAATCAGATATATTGTCACAGACACAGAGGACAGTTAGTTATCACAGTTACACCAGATATATTGTCACAGATACAGGGGACAGTTAGTACAGTGACACCAGATATATTGTCACAGATACAGGGGACAGTTAGTTATCACAGTTACTCCAGATATATTGTTACAGACACATGTGACAGTTAGTTATCACAGTTACACCAGATATATTGTCACAGATACAAAAGACAGTTGGTACAGTGACATCAGATATATTGTCACAGATACAGGGGACAGTTAGTTATCACAGTGACACCAGATATATTGTCACAGATACAGGGGACAGTTAGTACAGTGACACCATATATTTTGCCACATATACAGGGGACAGTTAGTACAGTGACACCAGATATATTGCCACATATACAGGGGACAGGTAGTTGGTACAGTTACACCAGATATATTCTTTCCTAATACAGTCTCTACTAGTTCTAGTCTTACACTATCTCAGCCCACTGACTCTCCGGCCATTCTATTTCACCACTGGTTGTTGTCTTACACCATCCCTGCCCCGTCACACTCCAGCCATTTTCTCCTCACCAGTCTCCACTGGTTTTTGTCTTACACCACCCCAAACCCGTTACTCACCGGCCACTGTTCTGTACAGAAGGTCTCTAGGTAGTTGGCCCATTTCCTCTCATTGTATTTATAATACAACGTGGGCGGGACAGCAATGGCAGCTCCTAGCGTCCAGATGATTGCCACCACGACCTTAACCTTGCGCTGTGTGACCCTGGCCTTGAGAGGAAAGACGATGGCGAAGAACCGGTCACCGGCGATCGCTATCATGGTGAAGGACATTGTGCACATTGCGCAAACTGAAATGCAAATATCAGCTTTTATTATGACTGGATTACAAATTAGGTTTTAGTTATTGTTTCAATCACACACACACACACACACACACACACACTCACACACACACACATATACACACATATGTACACACACCCATATATATATATATATATATATATATATATATATATATATATATATATATATGTGTGTGTGTGTGTGTGTGTGTGTGTGGTTGTTGCTACTGGTTTATTTTTTATAGCTGTTTTTTGTGTGTGTGTGTGTGTGTGCTTTTATCTTACATTGGAACTTAACAAACAAACGCCCAGTCTTCCTGTCATTTGCCATCGCTAGTAGCTCATGTATGTTATTCTGAACCTTAATCCCGTCTGTCCTTAATTATCGTTTTGTATTTTTTTTTTAAATTTCGCTTCTATTTCTGGTAGCTCTGTTAATCAGTTCTGTCCCAGTTGTTAATTAAAACCATCTTATTCTGATAGTCAAGGAGATACACAAAAACTAATTATGACATGTATTGCATAGGTATGTAGTTTTCAAAGTAACGCTTTTACAAAATTCGTAAGAAAAAATGTAAAGGACCCTTTTCCACGCCTTTAGGCGTATAGGGCATGTAGGGCTTGACCTATATTTTATAGATTACCGGCACAAGATGGGTGATGTGGTCAGCATCACGCCGGCCGCCTCTACTTCCTGGAACTGCACCCAGTACCAAGGCTGGGTCGACCTAGGAGCCAAGGTCACTTTTTAAGAGAAGTCCGGCTCCGCCAGGGAGCGAACCCACGACCTTCCGATTCGCGGTGCGCGACTGTCCGCTCTGCCACGGCGACTCCCTGGTACAAAATAAGAACTGTAAATTATATAGTTTTAGAACCCAGTTATGTATTTTCAGGTTTTATGGTATATCATTTGAATATATGACAGTGCAAGTTGAAGAACCATTAAAGGTATGGAATAAAACAAATATGCTCCAGGAATATTATGGAAACACAAGTGTGATTAATTCAAAAATAGTGAAGAATAAAACAAAAATGTCTTGGTAACCACTAGTTATAAGACCAAGAGTGGTAAATATGGCAATTTAGGAAACGAGGACGTCCAAGGAAGACTCTAAAACGAACGTTGATGAGAGAGGCCAAAGATGCTGGGATAGATTCCGTCTATTTAATCGAAGTGATTGCACATAATGGAGAAATAGACTGCGAGCCCTATGTGAAAAAAAATGCCGCAACAGGACAATGAATGAATGAACAAATGAAAGAATGTCCTGGTTGTTATAATAAATTACTATGTTTCAGCTTTTACAAGATTCCACTATTTCTGAATTACTACATCGACATTCAGTGTCCTAGCTGTTAAATTCACCTGCTATTTCGCAGTTTTGACGTCGACCGGCATTTTATGCAGAAATTCCATGTCATTGAAGTTTAGGAACAGAATTATCATATGCTAGTTAATAGTTAATCGAACGATTATCCTTATTGCATATCGGACAACCCCATAAGCGCTCGGATTCCATCTTCAGTAGATACGCCTGCGTGTAGCGACTGAAAACGCCGGTTCTACGTTGGTTTCCTATTCTTCTTTGGCCACCTGGATAGTGTTCATGTTTGGCAACACCTCTTTTGACCTGAAGTTCTTGTAGTGTTTTAAGTGTTGCTAATTCAAGGTCGTCTCCTGAATCGTCCACTCGTCCTGCCTTCTTGAGACCATTGAGTTGTCAGCTCGGCCCACTGATTTTCCTGTACTCACCTTAGCCCTGCCAGCAAGCCAATCCGCTCTTTCATTCCTTCTCACCCAGGAGTGTCCTGGCACACAAATAAAACTAATTCCTTTCAGACGAGATTTCACCAGCGACTCCAACCATTTTCTTTGAATCCATCCTGTTCCTATCTTCTTAAGCAAGCTCATGGAATCACGTAAAAAGCACGCATGGGAAAACTACTGTGCCTCTAGCCACGTCATTGCCTCCATGGTCAAACTGCTTGTAGTTGAGGGGGGAAAATCCAGCTTTCTTCTTTTATAGTTTCCATTGAAACATAACCGTGAAAGCTCATGAACTTTGTACGCGTCGAATGGCGGATCCGTCATTGTAGATAAATGCACCTTTCTTAGCAGCATTTTCAAGAATGAAGGCTTACCCTGCTGCCACAGCCACCAACAGGCCTTGTTGTTTGCAATGTACACCCAGTTTTATGCAGACTGAAAAGGGTATACCTAACTCTGCTGGCATTCGTATCCTTTCCTCGTCATGTTCTATGAACTCAATTGAACAAATTTGTTGAATAATTTCCTCAGCCTGACCCACCTAAAATTTTTCTCTTGTTAACCTGCTACCCGTCTTCCCGCGAATCTCACTGCGCAATGGATGGTGTGTATCGGCACTTACACCCAGATGTACACATCCTCAGCAGATCACTGTTCTCAAATGCATGGTTGGAAGATCAAGGAGGTAACGCATCGCTCTGCATGTTGTATTTTTAGTGCATCTAAGTATTTGCGCATGGTCTTATTTTGTATCCGATTTAGTCTGTCTATCTGTGTACTGCTAAGAGTCAGAATTGCCAGAGCGTACTCAGGTACAGAAAAGATCAGACCCTGGTATAAGAAATATAGGTGGAGTTGCTCACAGTTTGCAGCAGCCATAATCCTTAACGCCGTCAAACCTCCCTTTGCCTTCATTATTACGTGGATCACTTCCTCATAAAAATCAAAATTATGGTCAAAACACACTCCTAAAGACCTTATTGAAATAGTTCTCTCCATGATATCCGAACATAGTAGGTCTTAATGGGTTTATAAAATGGTTATTCAACGAAAAGCATGTAACACTTGACTTTGACACCTTGACGACCGCTCCGGCTTCATCTCACCACCTCCACCTGCTTATGCGATTAAGTTTTGTCTGAAGGCCCTTGGCAACCTGCTCCCTGTCTCTACATTGAGGGTACTTCAAAACATCATTAGGATACAACAGTGTCCTGTCCGGTTCCATGCTCTGCTCACCTGGTGAACATGTTGAAAAGTATCAGGGGAAAAGGTGAACCTTGCGGCAGACTGGGGTGTATGGCTATGGTTCAGATGCCCAGCTGTCGCATTTAAACAACATCTTCCATTTGAAGAGAGCCGATGAAATAAAACTTGTGAGAAAAGCTGAGATCAAGAAACTGACGAATCAAGAAGTCAAATGGTACCTTGTTTTACACATCCTCAAGATCAATTGCAGCAGCACAACTTTTTATCACCGAGTGGAATTCCTCATAAACGGCAAATACAAAGATCACTGCATTCCCCCGGGACTCTGTGTTTGGGCGATATCCCCTCATGGTGGGTAGGAGGAGGCCTAACTGCTCAAGATGACATGCTATTTTCTTGGTAACAATCGTTTCCAACAGCTTGTCAGTTGTATTCTGCGTTGTGATTGCACTGTAGCCCTGTATCGTTGTGTGGTCTTTACCACAGCTAATGTATCAAATAACTATGCAGCCACTCTTCATCGATGGTTGCATCAAATAACTGTGCAGCTACTCTTCCTTGATTGTCGCACTTTCAATACCGCTGTTGCAAAAATTCGCCAATTACTCCAGCTCTTTTGTCAGGAGGCTGAAAAATGTCTACTTATCGGATGCCATCTGGACCCGCTGCACTGTTTTGCCTCCCTTAACACAGCCCTGATTTCACCTACACGCACACAATATTTTTCCTCCATGTCGTGGGCATTACGAATACCTGAAACATGTGTTCTGGCAACTTGGCACTTGTGTCGTTTTTATCACTCTGCTCAAGGTAGCGAGCTAGCAGAGCCATTTCTTTCTGCTCGACAGTTTCGTGCCATTTGAGGTCACCACTCTGGAAGTCTGGAATGCATTCGCTTTTAGATGCCGTATTCATGCTTCTATGCAAGCGCCAGAACAATTTTAGTTATTTGTCTTTGCACATTATCAAAAAGGACTTCGTCCACTTCTCATTTTTAGCAATTTTAGCCAGAGATTGGAAACAAGCAGTCTTCTCATCAACAGTTAAATGTGGTCAGGTAGAGCAGTTTTGCATTTCTCTTCTTCTCATGCTGCCACAGTTTGAGGGTTCGGCGCTTATCCAAGCTTTCTGCACCTCGTTTTTCCACCTGGAGGTTGTATCCAGTTTTTCTTCCTAAAGGTTTGTGTTTTACACTTTCACGTCGGATTGTACCCAAGATGTCTAGACCTGTTGTGTCGTACCTAACGGTTTCCACCTTAAGTCTGGTAGTCTGGTAGTCTTAGTTTCAGCTTCATAGCAAACGGGTCGCCCCATCTTTGCTCTGCTCCTGTGCCAGCGAAAAACACCCAGAATGTTTATCACAGTCCCTTGTGGAAAGATTGACAGACTGCTGTCTCAGCATATCTAGCATACACTCGCATTAAAGCATATGGTAGCCATCCGAAGTGCTAACACAAACAGTCCAACATTAGAAATGCAGTTCATCATTGATGATAGCAGAACTTGTCGCCAACAGATCAGCAGTTTCCCACGCGATCAATTGTAATCACACACGGGCACCGCCAACATTGACGACCGGCATCGCGCCATTTTCTGAATCTACAATTCACACCACGTTGGTCACAGTCGAAAAAACATTCCAAATGCAATCCGCAGCTCACAGGGTCACGCCATGCATTCAACTCAGAAGCTGGGCGACGAAACTATATCCAGTCTACAAATGGAGCAAACATACTTCGGCCACCGTCCGGCAGAAGCAAAAAATTTGCCTCCGCTCCGACACAGCGCCGCTGTCTAGCGTCCATTTTAAGCGGAAGTCCACCTTAAGCTTATGTCTGCTCGATCTGCTTGACTCCACCAGTATGCAGCAGGGAAGAGCATCACTGTCGTGCTGCCCTAGGACACTCCATCGACACACGGACATGAGCGGAGGAGATACCAATGTGAGATCAATTGCACTGTCTTTACATCCCCGAGTCGGCTTGTCAGTCTGGTGACACAGCCGTTGTTGATCCATTCAAGGTTG